TTCAAAACGTAATAATCACTTTAATGTAGCTTGCGCGCTCACTGTTGTACACAGAAGCAGCTCTGGGAGGATGACGTAACCCTGACTAACCAACTGACTAACTAACCCTAACCCTGCGCAACGCTGACCTCATACGTCATTCCCCCGGAGCTGCTGCTTCAAGCACTGCAACACCCGCTGACTGCAATGATAGAGCTTGGAATAGCCAGGACAATATTTAATATAACTCCGACTGGATTCGTCTGAAAGAAGAAAGTCATATACACCTAGGATGCCTCGGGGGTGAGTAAAACACAAGCTAATTTTCATTTTTGGGTGAACTAACCCTTTAACATGGGAATGAATATGATATTTTGACACTGAAATGTCTTTTATGTGTTTCTAACATGCGTGTCTAAAACTGGAAGGGACTGCGGTTAATTGTGTGTGTACTCGTCTCGTTCTCTCCTGACAGCTCAGCACCTGCAGCAGCAGACCGGAGAGTGTCTCACGGCTTGTTGCAGCGGATCGAACCCCAAAAGCCTGTCTCTCCCGATCGGGCGACCTGAAGCGGCACCACAGAACGCACACGGGCGAGCGGCCCTACCAGTGCTTCCAGTGCGGGAAGAGCTTCTCCGAGTCGGGACACCTGAAGGAGCACCGGAGGATCCACACCGGAGAGAAGCCCTACCACTGCAACCAGTGCGACAAGAGCTTCTCCCGGCTGGAGCGGCTCAAGGGCCACCAGAGCATCCACACGGGCGAGAGGCCCTTCCACTGCACGCAGTGCGGCAAGAACTTCTTCCGCTCGGGAGAACTGAAGCGGCACCAGAGGATCCACAGCGGCGAGCCAGCGTGAGCGCCGTCTCTGCAGGACTCCTCGTCCTCCTCAGTCACACGCTTCACTGACGTTTGGCCTTCGCTCGAGATGATGTGATGGCCTTCCTGTATGAACGCATGTGAGCGGCAGACGGTTGACCGTCTTACTTGACTTACTGAACCTGTAAGACTGTAGAGGACAGCTGATCACTGACTTTCTCTTTATCTCCTATTAGAATTCAGCATCTGCTGTCCGTTGTTATAAATGTGTGCACCTGTTGTATGAAGCGCTACCTCTGCATGCTCCAAAGCTCCAGCTGTCGCTCGGATTTCACCGACTGACTGATGGTCACGGGCTTCCTTCATCTCACTCTGTATGTTCAGAAATATATAGTCCAGTGACTCATTAGAACTAAATTGTACAGGAGGATATTATTAGTGTGTATGCTCACATTCCCTGTATTTAAGGCATCCTTCTCAAACTGTCTTTTTTGTTGTTTTTAAATATAAACCTGAACTGTTTTACTGTCAACATGATTTGACGCCACTGAAGCGTTTCTGAATCCTCGTTTCGATGTGAGCGTTTGGTTTGTCTCGACGGTGGCTCTGTTTTACTAGCTGCTGGAAATCATGTATGTGAAACACCAAATAACATGTTAACGTTTAACCGTAACTCTCAACTGTCATGAAAGAAGTTATAAAGTATAGATGTGCTGTAATTCAGCAGCTGTTTGTGATCAGTTTTTGAGCACCAGATGATTAATATAGTAAACTGAGCTCATAAATCACATTAGATTTACCTTTTAGCTTTTTAAAATGAGCTCTTTACATTTATTATTGCTTTGAATTGTCTTCTATTTTTACCTTATATATGTGTATTTAACCATCTGTAGCTTGTGTGTTCAGTTTAGAAGGCTTTAATGGCATCACAAAGGCTATTTACAGTAATGTGGAGGATTGAATTATAATTGTTTGGGTTCTTCATGTGCATTAATGTTTTCTTCATGTGTGTGTCATCATCCTTAATAAACACTTCCCCTCTAATTACAGCCGCACACATGAACATTCAGTTTATTGGCCTTCTGTAACATTTGACATTTCCACTATAGTCTGCCTCATTAGATCATTAAACAATCATGTGAGATGAACCGAGTAAGAATCGTTTAATGCTGAACGGAATAGTTTTGCACGTCACACGACATATATTCCTATCTGTTACAGTAAATTACTGGCCTCGATTCAAAATGTGAGAACGAAACATTTTTAGACACATTGTATGTTTTAATATACAGAAAAAAAACGCTGCAAACCATTTCCGCTCTGGTGGAAACGATGCTCATTTTACGACAGCCGCGTTGGTTTACGGCACAGATCAGTCGGAAGTCTGGTAACCAGGGAGACGCCTGGAGGCACTGCGGCCGGCGCGAGAAGGTGAGCTGCGTTTAATTCAAAATTTCTCATTAAATGCATTTAAATTGTCAGTTTTATTCGTTACAAATGAGTATCTCGTGTCTGATAATGTTTCCACGAAACCGTAAACAGCGACTGACCGGCAGCGCGCGGAACACGGCAGACGCGCGAACACAAACAAACACTGACAGAAAAACTGGAGAAAACAGCAGCGTGTGAAAGAATCCGCTCATAGGAGTCTCATGTGAGCGTCATTAGCTTTAATTTGACTGATTGGCGGCCCGTTGCGTGTGTTTCCGTCATTTGAATGGCTTTGCTGGTGTTCTTCTGACTTAGTCCGTCTTCGCTGACCGGAGGTCAGGTGTGACGCTGCTGTACTCACCTGCTGAGAGCTCCTGAGGGTTTAGACCTGCTGCTGTGTTTGTGTTGCTGCAGCGCGAAAGTGATTTACGAGCACATTTCTGTCCCATTGTGGTGTTTCATGTCTCATGGAGCGTGTTCTCAAGGCCTCTGTGTTTCTGTTTCTCCAGAGCGACTCCATGGAGGTCCGTAAGCCGGTCCTGGAGCTGAAGGACGTCCCTCCTCCTCCCCTCCACAGCACCGGCTCTCAGCCAGGCAGCCTCAGCGTAAGCGTGTGTTCCCGCTGCGAGGCCAGCATACACCTGCAGCAGAGTTTTAGTGAGGCCGGTGGAGGCTTTCCTCTGTGTCTCTCTCAGACAAACACCCGCACCCCCCCTCACCCCTCGTCTGTGGCTCAGAGTGGCTCCGGAGCGAGCTGCTGCGCCAGTCTGAGGCCGCTGCACGCCTGCGCTCTGTGTAAGCCGGCCCCGCCGGGCGTCTGTCACTGCCGCAGAGTGCAGCAGCACCCTTTCCCTCACGGTGACCCGTCCTCACCCTCTCACCTCTGCTCTAACCCTCTGCACCTGAGTGTCGGGCGCACGCCGCCGTGCCTGAAGGGCGCTCACTGTTTGCAGGAGTGCTGGAGAAAGGTTGGTGGATCGCACCGCTGCTCAAGTTGTCTTGTGTTTTTGGGAGCACATCCTTCATTCCTCAGTAAAGCACAGCCTCGACTGACAGAGGGCGAGGCAGAAATGGGGTAAAACTCTGTGGTAGGGCTCTGGCGTGGATTCTGCAGTGAACGCTAACATTAGTCTCTTCTGCTTTCAGAGTTTACATGTTGACTCGGAGAAGGTTTGGCCGAACATTCCTCCGCCTGTCCCTGTGTGCAACGGCTGCGGTGTGACGGGCGCATCGTCCGACGGTCTGCTGGGCGTCCATCTCGGCAAAGCCACTCAGAAATACGGTCCGTACAAACATGTTGACTAGCGAGCTGTAAGTCGTGCCTGTGGTGTGTTTTCTGCAGGAATTGGACGAGTGCCGCTCTGTGTCCGCAGGTCCTCCGGAGACTGGCGCGCAGGAGACGCTGCCGCCCATCGGGGTGTTCTGGGACATAGAGAACTGTGCGGTTCCCAGCGGCCGCTCGGCGGCGACCGTGGTGCAGAGGCTCCGAGAGCGCTTCTTCCAGGGACACCGCGAGGCCGAGTTCATCTGCGTGTGTGACATCAACAAAGAGAACAAAGCCGTTATTCAGGAGCTCAACAACTGCCAGGTGCGCGCCAGCGTTACATTCGTTTCACTGCCGTGTGATTGATGCTCCACGCGCTTCTGTCTCTTCAGGAGAGCGTGTTTCTTCATGGCTTGCTCTGTTCCCGCTCAGGTGACCGTCGCCCACATTAACGCCACCGCCAAAAATGCAGCAGATGACAAACTGCGTCAGAGCCTCCGGCGATTCGCAGAGACACACGCCGCTCCCGCCACAGTCATCGTTGTTTCATGTACGTGTCTGCAAACTTAAAACTCTGGGTTCAAAATATTTGATGGGCTTAAATGACAAATCAGATTGTCCTTTATCTCTTTGGATGAAAGTGCTTGATATAATAGATAAAATAAATCCGCTCACCTTCCTCCAGCAAAACTAAACATTTATTGAAACTACACTGCAGAAGGTTCATGTTCTGAACTTCTGACGTCACACAGATGAGCGTCCTCATTCAGACGGCATCAGAAACGTGATCCGTTCAGTAACGGTGAGGGCATGAGGAGGAAGCGGGACAGACACTTATTCCTGAACAGCAGAAGAACTTGCATCATATGTGGAAAAGTGTGAAAGCTTAAGCTGCTCCTGTCAAAACTAGACTGAACCGACAGCAAACACACAGTGATAAACTGGTTTCACATAGACTAGACACAACAGCAGCAGTGGCCCGTCTATCTAATACGGGTTAGAGACAATATTATGACTGATTCAAACACAGACTAGTTACAAACTCTGTAAGCTGGCCTCATGTAAAAAAACGAAACTGAATCCACCTGTTCTAATGGCAGCGTTCTCTGTCCTTCACGCAGCGGACGTGAATTTCGCCAGTGAGCTGAGTGACCTGCGGCATCGCCACAGATTCCAGGTGATTCTGGTCCACAAGAGCCAGGCCTCGTCTGCTCTGCTGCAGCATGCGCACCTGTGCGCCGCTTTCGAGGAGTTCGTCTCGGACCTGCCTCCCGGGATGGTCGTCAAATCTCAGGTCAGCCGCCACACCTCACTCCCTCTGTTCGTGACTGCTTTTCCTACATGTGAACACTGATTTGATGAATGCAGAGAACAGCTGGCTGGTTTTTCTGTTTGGAGACAGAACAGTGTGTTTGGACGCCGCTGTTGTAATCATGTGATCGTAAAGCCGTCCACTGTCTGACTCCACGCTCTGAGATTTTAATGGAGTTCATAGAGAGTTAAAACCCCGTAATTTAAAGCTGTCAGTGGCGGGCTAGACGCTGAACTCCAGCACCATCTCAGATCTCCCAGAGTGCTGTTTGTGTGTCTGCTCCTCAGCCCAGTTTCAGCCTTCTGTTTGTGCACCACCTCCCCACGCACCGCGACGCCAAAGCGGTGGCCAACCGGCTGCAGCGGCTCTCCACTAACTGTGGAGGGAAGGTGTTGGGCGTGTCGGGCGGCTGCGGCGTGCTGCGGTTCTCCAGCGCCGAGGCAGCAGAGCGCGCCCGCAAGCGCATGGAGAACGAAGACGTGCTGGGCCACCGCATCGTGCTGTCCTTCTCTCCCGACGGCCCAGAGGAGGAAGAGGAGCGCCGGCCTCCTGCCGCCGCCTCCTCTTCGGTCTTCCTGCCCGTGGAGAAGCCACGCTCGCCCCGTCGCCTGCGGCGGGCGTCTCACTCGCGCCCG